TTGCGGATTAAAGAATATAATTTTTTTTAAATGAGCAAAGACCATGACTTCAATCAAATCTGCATGGTAAAGGTGAGTTTTTCTTACCACTGAGAAAAGACTCCAGGCAAAAGAGTTTGATCTTTCTCTGGCGCTCTATGAGATTTGGTGCAGCAGGGTTTGGAGCACAGGGACCGGACCAGTACACCTTGCACTGGCAGAGACGCACTGCATAGATGTCGTGACCGCTGACCTCCAGGATGAGGCCTCTGTCCATCACATCCAGCAGGCGGTTAGTGAAAATCCTCTGCTTCTCATTGGCAATGTGCTCCGTGGTCGGAAAGCGTAGCTGTTCCAGGTTCACCGGCCCGAACAGCTCCTCCTGGTTGACCATGGGGCCGAGGTCTCCGTAGAACAGCCTGCAGCCCTGAGGGTTACTGATGTTCCCTGTGGGACACATCTCCTTCCCTCTGTACAGGAACTGCACCTCCAGGTCTGTCACTGGTACAGAGACAAAAGCAGACTTATTTTAAACCCATGTACGACATTTCTGCTTTAATTCAAACTTTTACATAATTGTACTTATATTGATCCTTCTAACAAGTATTGGCCCTGCTGCTAATTCATCGATGCCATAGACTTTCAATGTTCTCTAAAAACACAAATATAACAATACGACACATAGTTCACTGGCTGACCTGTGCCATCATACCGGTTATGTTAATACTCACAAAATTGTTCTTAAGTGATTGTTTTTTGGTATTGTTTAAAAAAAAGACTACAATGCCCTATGTTAGGAAATGAATGGACCAGGTTGAGCTACAGTAGCCGATAATACAAAATCTGTTTTGGAAAGAGAAACAAATTAATTCCTTTTGGTTGACTGTCTCTTTTATGATGTGCAGTGATTTCCTCAATAGAAGAAGTGCATGCTTACTCGGGAGGGAACTGATCCACGTCTCTGGAGAGGCGAAGAATACTTCAGGTAGAGAAGGGGGATGCATTGGGACGTCAGGCAGAGGAGCATGGGGCATTTCACTCAGGGGTGTGGGGTGCATCTCCACATCCACGGGCTCCTCTTTAGGCCAGATTTTAACAGGCTCCTCTTTGGGCCAGACCTCATTTGAAGGGGGACAACTGGAAGGTTGCATGGGGGATCCAGAGCTCATAGGAGACCACATAATGAGAGGAGAGGGACTGGTACCTAAATGAGGAGATAATAGAGAAGAGGGTTTTTGATATACTGCTAGGAAATTAAGGGTAGAAAATGCATTAAGTATGAGGAGAAGATATTCACCATTGGATGGGTACGGAGGGAGAGACTCTGGTGTATCTGGAATATCTTCGTCACCACCATCATCATCATGTGGAGTCCAAGAACCACCATCTGAGGAACCTGTGGGGTAAAAATGACAAAATCAATTGAAATTCAAAAGAAAAACACCAAATTAAGGAGGAAAAATTAATCACTCATATTTAAGCAGCTCTTGTTTACCTTGGTTACTGAGGGGCTGTGGAATGTCGCACACATCATAAATCTTCAGAGGATTCATGGGGACCTCTTTGGTGCCATCGTAGACTAGGTGGAACTCTCTGCTTTTGTTCAGAGCACATCGAAGCTGGGCTTTCCACTTGGCTGGATCAGGTTCATCAACGCCCTCTTGGAACTTCCCCGTCTCCACAGCCCACGCCTGGAGGAACATTTAAACACAACGGAGGTATCAATATCAGAGTCCAGTTTTACATTCCTGCACTGAATCCACATATTTGTACTGTCTTTCTCAAAGGTAGTTGCACTTTGTGGGGTATCCATGAAAATCATTTACATATATAATTGAAGAAGATTGAACTTATTGTCATTACGTAGTACAGGTACTATGTAACGAAACGGTTTCTCTGCATTTGACCCATCCTAGTGTTAGGAGCAGTCGGCTGCCATTATGTACGCCGCCCGGGGAGCAGTGTAGGGAATGGTGCCTTGTCAGGGACACCTCGGTAGCACTTGGTCTTTCCGGGACTTGAACTGGTGACCTTCCAGTTGCCAAGCCAAGTCAAGTCCCTATGGACTTCGCCACCATATATAGCTAAATATGTAGAAAATACAAGAGATTTGTCATCCCTAAATATTTCACCCAATTAATGTGCTCAGTACAAAAAGGGTTTAGTATGTCTCAAGTTACACCGATATAGCAAATGTTCACTTTCTCAAATTGTTTATCAGGTGAAAAGGGACAAATAAGAAGCAACGCTTTCATAAGCAAAACATGGCCATGATTAAATAACTGTCATTTTGTGGAACTGGGAGGCCTTGTGATGCAACTGCATAACCAGATGTAATGCCAGGTAGGCCACATGCAAATAGTTTTGTCTTTTTTTAACTTGTAAAAGCGTATTTAATAACCTTGCCAAAAAAAAAGAGGACCCAGTTCCCTACCTGTGCAGCAGTGCCAACATGTACAAGCTCTGCCTCGGGATAAACAAACACTTCGTGTCATGGCCTACATTCATTCCTCTTTTAGCTCAACCATGACATCTGTTAAGTTTAGGTTAACCTTAAATATGGTGTCCTCGTCCTCGTGCTGCGGTGTATGTCGTGTCGCGTGTTTCCATGGGATCTTGAAGCGCATGGCCTCGCGCTCAATCCACACCAGCCCCGGGTATCGCCCGCTGGACACCTGAGACACCAGCCAGGGCTTCAGGCGGACACGTCGAGGGGTGACCGACATCCTGAAAGACAAGACAACACACACCGATCAGTCCACTGTGGATTATTACTGTGAATCATCTCCCCAATAGCCAGAGAGTTTAAACACTCTCAGTGACTAACAATGGTGCAGCAGTGTTCCCAGAAATCCTGCGCGTCCGGGTTATCCAAACATTTTTAGACAGGCACACTTTGAAAGTCGGGATACTATTGATTATATAAGCACTTGTTTGTCATATAACTAGCTCTGCTCGGAGATTATACCCCGTGTTTAATAGTTCAGAGTATATATATATAAACGTGAGATTCAATTAAAAATAATTCAGGTTAAAAAGCGACCAAACACGATACTAAAGAACGACACATACCTGTGGTGAACCAGGAAGTTGGAGAGGTCTGTCCTTGGCCTGCTCACCAGCAGCTGGAGAATAAACCGCGTTTCCTCTGCAAAAACCCGAAGTGTCGCAGATTCCCTCGAAGGAAATGTTAATAGATAATCATTTGGACGAAGGTGTGAGAGAATAACAACAAATTGTTCCCGGGGAACTCTGGTGTTGTTCACTCGGGCTCGGCCCTTCCCCTCTCCTCACCGAAACTCAGGTACAGCCGTGACGTCACACCGGTGACACACCTTTTCTGAGCAGCTGAGGGGAAAGCTGTTCCTGAAGCACGTGGACACACACTTTAATTTTCCATCTGAGCATTTCACTGTGAGACAACTTCACCTCATAACATTATCATGAGTTATAAATCTGACATGTAGATAAACTACCTAATCAAGAATAATTATAAATGATCCTAATGTAATAAATATAATAATAAGTGCTTTTGTAAGGCTCAATCTGACACACGGACATGTTCTTGTAAGTGATTTTTTGGGTTAGTGCTGAACATTTGTTTTATAAAAAAAAATATTTTAAATTGCTCATTCAGGGATTTATTTACCCTCTTGTTATTTTCTCCACTGGTGTTTTATATTTTCCTGAAATTGTATTGTATTTGTTTTAAGGAGTATGTGAAGGAAATAACTACTGTTACTGTCATTCAGGATTGATTGGTCATACATTAGATTGCGTCAAGAATAATCAAGAATAATTATAAATGATCCTAATGATCCCAGCATTGCGCACTAGCAGACGATATTTATGACTCAGCTGGCAGACGGATTAGGCAGCTTCCATTGCAAATAACAGCCAATTCACTGTGCATTGGCACAAATGGACGGTTGGTGATGATACTATCACTAATAGTAAACAAAACAGCCCGGCAATAATAAACCACACCCTGAAACTACTCATGGCTTTGAGAGCGTGTGTCCGACAACCAGCTGTGCATATTTGACTTTGGGTTTCTTGGTTTCGGATTAATATCCATAATGAGCCTGTCTCGCATGTGCTAATTATTTGCATTCATTTCATTTCAAACCTTTATTTATGCAGGTGAATCCCATTGAGATCATTGATCTCTTTTTCATTCTGGGATGGATGGTCAGTCCGAGTCTTTTGTTGATGGGTGTGTTGGTTTGTTATGGTTCCAATAGCCTAAGTCACTGTCCCCTAACAAAGGATGAAGGAATCCCCAGGGGTTATACCAGAACACATTTTACATAAAGGGGAGTGTAAGGAAGGGTTGAGATTATGAATTTAACATAATTAGATTCGTTTTATAAGATGTTGCTCCTTTTTTTTGCATTTTTGTGGCCAACTCCTTTTTCCCTAGCCTTGTGTCTGCATTGAGGGATCAACAACATGACTTGGCTTTAAGTTTGAATTTAGACAGTCCATCTGTGTCAGTAAGTGATACTAAGTCAGAATGCAAAACACACAGACACACAGAATTAAACCATTAGACAAAAAAAAGGCAAGTTCAAACTAAAACATTACTAATTAAATACTGAGATGTCTATGGCATTGATGCTGGATATCATTTTTGCCTCGCAACTTTTATTTGGTCACACAAAGGTCCTTTTTGCACGTTCTCTCATTTCACTTTATAAATGTGCATATATCTAACTAAGGTATTTTTATTTTTAAACATAAACGCTCAAGCCAACAACTTACATCATGAAAAACTCATTAATGTGGAACTGTCATTTAGCTTAATTCAGACTACAGGCTGTCTAATGCTTTAACAGTTAACTCGACAACTGAAGAACAAACAGAACGTTTTGTTAGCTTTTTGCTTATACAGTTTGCTTGAAATAACTGGAAATGCACACATGGTTGTCCCTAGGAATAACACACAGTGAAATATCAAATAAAAAAGGATTCCGAAAAAAATCACACCATTTTGAGAAAGGTATAAGGTACTTGTTTAATCTCAAATATACATCATTTACTGCTGTTTCAGATGTAGGGAGATGTAGGTGGCTCTACTGCACATTATGTGAAACACTACAATTAAGGAACCTGTAGGTTTCACCTAAACACATTTAACTGAACACGTAGCTTATGTATTGTAAAAATGCATGCAATAGCTACAACATAAATTCAATAATGGCACTTTATGGAGATTGGACTGAAATCATGTAGTTTTACACTTCAGCTAGAGTCCAACAAAGAGTTAAGGTATTAATCTGTCTTTATGTTTTGTCTGACAACATTAATATTTGTCTTTGTTAGTCTGAGTTAGTAAACTCAGAGGAGTTAAATACTGTTCTTTGACAGCGACCCAGAGATTGGTCCACATCCTTTCATCCTGATGATGATTTATGGATTATCCACCTCTTCAGCATGTGGAACGGTTATACAAAAATGTTTATTTCAGTGTCAATAAGGATAGAGGTATCAGGTGTTGGCTCTCAACTCTTCTTGAATTTTGCTGACAATATGTGTGAGGTCCAAACTCTCTGTTAGTGTCGTCAGCAGCATTTCGTCCTTCTGAATCCCCTCCATGAACTCATCATAGGACAGTTCACCTGTAGAACAAACACATACAAACACTAAGCACAATCATCTAATGCTGGTTGTCACCTGGATTCATAAATAATAAATCCTTTGCTAAGTATTTGTTATCCAGCTGTATCCCAATATTCAGGTATTATCGAATGTCTGAAGATTTCTCCCTCCGGTCTTACCATCTCCATCGACGTCAATCTTTTCAAACACCATGTTGGCAAAGTTCTCTGCTGAAATCTCACTGGTAGTGCCATTGATTGCACGGATGGACTGAACACAACACAAAGAAAGGAAATCATTACTGAACATTACATTTCAATTAGCGAATGCTTTCCAAAGTAACACACAGTACATACAATTAACCTAAGAGATATAAACTCATAACAGCAATCATCCTGCAAGTACATTAGATTCAAATAGGCCACACATTTGCAAGTGCTTCATACAGGAATCATAGTATTTTTCTTTTCATGTTATGATCATGAACATGCCATAAACTGACACATTTAATGTTTTTTTCAACCAGTAGATGTCAGCCAAGTGTCATCCATGAGCCTCTGAACCTTGAGTAACTCACAGTAGATCCTTGTTTCTCATTTGGACTCCAGTGGTCTAAGCAGGTTGTTTCAGGACAGTGTTTGGGATTTCCCTAAGTCTTTCACTAAGCCCTGCATCAGCCTTTAACATAAAGGCTCTTTCGCACCTTAATTATCTGAAGTAGCTCCTCTTGGTCGATGTAGCCACTCCTATCTACATCATACAGTTTGAAGTACCAACGGAGCTTCTGCTGCACGCCTCCCTTTAGCACCAGACTCAGAGCGGCCACATACTCCATGAAATCAATGTAGCCATCCTACGAAAGAAAAGAACATCGTGAAAATTGTCATTACCAGAGCAGTACTCATGGTATACTCCTGACATTTTAAAAACAACAATGCAAATAGTGGAATAAACTCCTGTTCCCCACCTATTTTTCAAATGTTGTTAATGTAATACGCTGATACACTAATCAACAGCGGCATGAAGAAGAGGTTTGACCTTTCTCGGTTAAAGTTGCAGGTCAGTAAGCAGCATTGATGGAATAAGCCCCCTCAGTAAAAGACTAATTTCCTCTCAATTATTTATGTTAGCAGAAACACACTAAGGAAAACACAGACAGGCAATAAATGAAAACTGCACGGTTTTAAAATAAATGAAAATGAAAATAACAACAAACCAGTGTCTCTGCATTAAAGCAGGACATAGAGTAACAATAGATGGTCAAAATAAAGTGCATGTAAAGGATTGAACATATTCTTTGTTTTTGTATCATTGGTTCTTTGCTGAGGATTATGAAGATCATTTGAATCTTAATTCTTCATAATAGCAGATTTACATAGTGAGAGTATGATTTGCATTAATTATATTAGCAGCATTATCATAAGCAATCTACTTTAAAAAATGACATCCAATGTGAAATAAACCGTTTTAAAACATTTAACAACCACTGATATTCAGTAAAGATGAGAAGCAACTAATGGTGACACTCATCTTTGCTGATAACATTAAAATGTATATATTAACCTGCCAGAGGAATATAAATGAACTTACACCGTTCATATCAAACGTGGAGAACATGGTCAGAACGTAGGCATTTGACGCTTCCGACAGATTCCTCAGGCCGAAGAACTGTTTAAACTCGTAATAGGTGAGAACTCCAGATGGGCACTCAGTCATGAATTTCCTGTACCACTGATGACTCTCACAAGCTTGTAGTTCCTCCACACTCGTCCCAGGGCTGTTTCCCATGTCTCTTTTTATAAAAATACATTTAAAAAATCCTGTAAAAACATAACCAATACCTACAACTGCATTCACTCAGCATCCAGGCAGGGTCAGCATGAAGTGTAAGAGCAGCAGCAGGGTTCACAGTACGGTTAGCACAGTTCATCTCTTCATCTCTGAGTGCGTATGAAAGGCTCAGAGTTGTAATCCATTTTGCTTGCCAGCAAAGACTTAACAACAGAAAGAGATCTATAGTCGCAGCATGAAATGCTTGTGTAGCTACATGACCCCAGCTGCCAAAACCTTAATATCAAAGATAACTGACTGATGTATTGAATCAAATATCAACTATTACAGTTGATGTATGAATTAGTGTGCTTCATGAACTATTTGTTCATTTTACCAAAAATGTTCTACCTTAAATGTATTTGTGAAAGAATGGTCTCTTTAGCACTACTTTGGTTATGAGTGGCCATCATAAAGCCTTTTAAGCATTCATTTAACAAATATCCCCCTTGTTGCTCTTTCTTTTTGTGCCTGCCTGTTCTTTATAACTGTGTTCATGCTTTTTGTTGACTAGAATACTGAATATGTGAACCTAATTTGATTTAAGTGTTGTATTTGTTGCTTTCTTTGAATGGCGTTTAATGAAACTCAGAGGGCTTGAAGTATAAGGCCGACTTCCAGGACTTTACCTAAACCAGGTCACTCAAAGAGATACTTACAAACCAGAAGACTCAAAAAGACCACAAAGAAACATAAAAGGAAAGAGACATTAAGACACAAAAAGACTGAAACAACTATTTAAGCAGAGACTACACAAAGACGCTACATAGAGACACAAAACAACAAAAAATAGATTAAAAAAGGAATTACTAAAAGTCTCCAAATGACTACAGATGTACAAGTATAAAAATAATAAGCTAAACAACCAGGAGGTGTGTGTGTTTTGCTCATTTAGGAAAGGTGGAGGGGCCGCTTGCATGTCTGTACCCAGGGGCCTCGAGTCTCATTGTCTGTTACCGCAGACATTGACATGAACTCAGCCTCACCTGAGGGGTCATCGACACATAGGGTAAAAGAGAAAGTAAACTCAGAGGTAAATATGGGCATATAAACATGAAGCCAAACTTACAATTCAGCATTAACCATATGTTTTTAAACCTCAAAAAATATTTAAGCTGTTGACACACACAGTTTGTCTGGACTAAATATTATTGCAATTCTTTGATGCAAATATCAGTTTAAAAATGTATCAGCTCACTCTAGCTTTAGGCAAGGCACGTTTATTTATATAGCACTTTTCAACACAAGGCAATTCAAAGTGCTTTACAAAAATGAAAGACATTAAGAGCATAAAGCACATTAGAAACATTAAAAAGCAAAGATAATAAAACATGAATAACAAGTACAAGTTACAGTGCAGTGTAAGATGTGAATAGTTAATTAAAAGTAGCGGCAAAAAGAAAGTATTGAGCCTGGATTGAATAGAGTTAAGGTAGTTTGTTCCAGATATTTGACAATATCCCTAACCAAATTCTCACATTCCTCTATCCCTAGTCTTCCCGTGAAATTATAGTTCCTTTGACAGTTTTCTAACCTTTTTATATTCCTTTCATCCTTCTCTTTCAATAATGTTGCATCCCCAGTCAACATATTTTCCCCTGTTTTACTCTTACCTGATCCCATCTTTGACCTTTAAACTACTTTTCTTTTCATTTCCCAGATTAGGATATTTAAACCTGTTTAAACCTGGAAGAATTTGATTTTATGGTCTTCAGAAACATTACATTAGTAATGATTATATACATATGAATTCAGTTTACAAAAAATATAAAGCAAATCATACTTACTAGTATGTATCTGTGTAAACGGTCGTATTTACATTTGTTTAAAGATGTTGGCTTCTTCCGATGAAGTCTATTTGTTTTCCCTGGACAGATCAGTGTTGCATTATATACAAAGGTAATACACATGCAGAGCTAAAGTAGTTTGATAGTAAGATATTAATTTAGATAAAAAACAATGTAATAAAATATATTATCAGTTACTAATTGACAAATGTATCACAGAAGCATTAAAGCAAGACCTGTGAACTCAACTGAAGAAAACCTGTTGACACAAATGAGATCTGGCTTCACAGATCTGTGATGTTGAAACTCAATGTTCTTACACACAATACATCTGGTTCTGATGGTATCTTCAGTTTCATTTCCATTAGCAACATCATAGTTCTCATCACAATGGAATGCAACATATGTAAGATCTTTCGATCTCCATTTCCTTTTATTTTAGTGTCTGTTTACAAATTACGTCAGCTGTTTCTCTACTTGTCTGGTATTTTCCTAATGCACAAGTCAGGGCCTGTTTCATTTGAGGCTAGAAGTACAGGGGAACAACAGGGAGGAAAATGGAAGTGGATCTGTTGAAATCCTGTAATGGTCCAGGTGTTAGCACTGACTGCTACCAAGACACTGCCAGTTCTCAATACACATGATAACATATCAACTGTGAAAAGTGGCTATATTAGATTCAATGAAATTAAAATAATAAAAGCAATAAATAACTGAAGTCATTAATTGAACTTTAGAAAAGAGCTGATGATACGCAGAACTGCTTCTGCCTGCATTTCCTGGTAGAGCCGAGCTTTACTGCGTGTTCAGCACTGTGAAGCAGGTGTGAACCGTGAAAGGCCTTTGCCAAAACATTCTTGACATTTCAGAGGGCATCAGTTGGCATGATGAATCCCTAGGAGGACAGAGAAACTGGATGGACCGGTCTGATCGTCTCCAGGACAACTGAGGTTTAGGTGCGACAGGCAGACGTCACACAAACACTGTAGCCAAGACAAGAAATACAAAACGATTGACTGGCGCTATGAAGTGCATCATTATTAAAAAAAAAATCATGATTGGAATAAAAACACCTGGCCAACTTGAAGACCAACATAATTATTAAATTATAATTAATATGTATTATTAATATATTATATGATACATCTTTAATAGAGACATTTAAAGTGTAAATGTTTGTCGTCTCTATCAATCTGATCAAGGAAATGGATCAGTTTTCCTTATTGGAATATTACTACATCAATAAAATTCCTGGATTATATATTAACCGGTGGTGGAAGAAGTGTTCAGATAAAAATAGTATCAGCATTAAGTAACTCAAGTTCCTCGTGGTATCTTTTTCTGGAGCTTTGAACCAAGTTAAGCGTTTACTGTATTGTACTGTTATTATGGTACAAAAAAAGCATATAGATATTATGATATTTAGGCCAAAGTAATGTGATTCTGATTTTACTAGATCATCATATTTTATTCTTAAATATTGCACATAAGTGTAGACTTTAAGTAGACAATTAAATATAATGTTAAAACTGATCAACAATATTATATTACAGAACAAATCAATGATTAGTGAAGTTTTATGTGGTTATATAGTACTTGAGTAAATAGTGACAGTCCGCCAGTGTGAGGTTGACCTCATCTGAACCAAGCTCGTGAAGAAACAAGGATTGTGGTTCAGCTCAGAGGGCAATTGGTAAATGAGGTTGGTGGTTTGCTTTCAGCGGTCAGCTCACTCTGAGCTTTAGAGGAGTCCTGATCCTCTTTAGCTTTTAGCATCATCTTCATGGTTATCCTGTTTATGTAGGTCACATGGTTAACCATCCCTATGTAAATAATGACGGCACAAGTTCAAGTATTACCTAAGCATGACATGTATTTATAATAAAGATTATTAACCCTTTAACTACCGGACCAAGAAAAAAGCTATGGACAAATTATTTGTTTGCATTTTTTAATGAAATGGGACACAAATTACCACAACAATTTTTTTTGACTGCCCACACAGTTTAGTTTTTATGAGCCTCTACCAACTGGTCGAGCTGGCCTTTCATGGTAAAACTGCATTTTCAACTATCATCATATACAGTACAGTATTTGTATGCATCAAACTCAAATAAAACACAAACTCAAATACATTTTTTTCTTTTATGGAAAATGAGCATATACAACCAGATATATTCATAAAAGATAATACATTATAATTGTAAAAAAAAAGAAATGGAAAAAAGTAATGTTAAGTGTTTTTCAGAATAAAAAAACTTTGCATGAAAAGTGCTATATAAATTATTATCACTCTTTCACTGTGAGACTCATAAGGCAGTACTAGATTTAGTAATATTACCATGAATCTAGCCATTTATTTACCATATTTTATTGGAAAACATCTCTGAAACTCTGAAAAAGTCATATTGCTAGTTTACCATAAAAGGCCAATTCGACCGATTGGTTCAGCATATTTTCAAAAAATAATTACACCCTTGTTAAAACTTTTTTTGTGCATCAAGTTATCTAATTCTGTTCAGTAAGTGCTCTGACACTAACATATGTCAAAAATGATATGGTTACCTTACAAAAGTTGACCAAAAATAGTGATTTCGTCAGCAGTGATTTTTAGCATGCCAACTTTCTCAGTGGAGGCTAGCTGGAGGGCATTCTGTTCGAACTACAGTGACATCTAGAGGTTGTTTTGTGCATAACATGTCAACTAGATGGTAGAGCTGGCTGAATCAGATGGAGTTACACTTTTTTTTTTATTTTTCAACAAGATATCAAGACACAAAATGTGCTCTACCAAATTGTGGCGCTGGCTGTTAAAGGGTTAAGCTGCTTATTTTTGCCAATGAGTATGAATAAATGGCTGTTTGTTTGAAATGTGTTATTAAAAGAAAACATAATCTTGCAGGTGTGGATAATGGACCCTGTACCCTCGTGTGATTTGTGGTTGAGATAAATGAAAAAACACATTAAATATACAGAAACCAATATTTTATAATAAATATGGAGGAGGAAATGTGTTCCGTGAGATCTAGTACCCTGTACCTATTATCATAACCTTTTGTTAGGGAAATAATAACTGTAAATATGTCCAATGTAAAGCAGCAAACAATTTTTCTCTGTTACCAATAATTCTCGCTTTTGAAAGTAACAAAGATATAATAAAGTTATTCAGAAGTATTTTTTATTACACATTTATACCATAAGAGATGTTATTTCCCATCAACATCTTACTTACTTTTGGAAGAAGGCCTAAGCACCGATGAGCTATATACAATTAGAGTTA